GAACTGCTCTCCTCAGTTCTGTGAACCTGAGGTGGGGCTGGGCGCAGCCCTGAGTTTGTAGCAAAGTCAGGTAAGAGCTGTGGGTCAGCAGGGGACCCGCCACTTGAGGTCCGATCCTGAGCTGGGGGCCGTGCCGTGGGCTGAGCCCTCGACCTGAGGGGTCTGTGCTCAGTTCAGGGAGATGCGGCGGAAATGGGTTAAATTCTGCCGAGTCTCGGAGAACCGGTTGGTGTGGCAAACACCCTCATGCGTCCGCCGTCCGAGCTCGAGAGAAGCGGGAACTTTTCTTGTCTCGTCCCCGCCGGTCTCCGGGGCCGCTGAGACCACACTTCACGTGCCCACGCGGGGCGTCTGGGAGAGCCCCGTGCATCACCAGTGCCATCACCACGTGAGGGTGCCGGAGGCGACGTGTACCCGTCCCACGTGCTCAGCAGGTGGAGGAAAAGACGGCCCTTGCGTTCAGAGCCCCACACCGCTGAGAATCAGCAGATCAGGATGGAGAGAACGGCCAGGGGACAGAGGAGAAGACAGGAGAGTGATGTGCTGTCTGTGTGGAGGGTTGACGCGGTGTTGCCAGCGAGAAATCCTTCCCCACGCAGTCCAGACCCCACCCGACGCCTGCGAAGCCCTGAGAGTCTCGTGCGCGTTGACGACCCGGCCGTAAAGGTCACGTGGGAGGTCAACAGCCAATACAGAAGCCAGTGCAAGAGAGGAGAATGGCGACTCTCCCTACGGGACGGCCAACCGCAGTGATTAATTCCGTGTGACTTTCCGGGCAAGGTTCTGTCGCCTGGATGGAGCCTCCGGAAACGGAAGTCCGGAACACGGCAGTGCGGAAATCCTGGACCGCTTACGAGATGACCCACTTGTGTTGCCACAGACGCAGTTAGAAGGGTTCCTGGGCTGAAGCCCGAGACCCCGGCAGGTGCGCGAAGAGGCCACTGGCGGGTTCCACGTCCCTTTCTCTGGGAAGCGCTGACCGCTCACCAAGAAGCCGGGTGGGTGTGAGAGAATCACGTGGAGGTGCGCCCAGGGTTTTGCTCAATTCTGTGACGATGTTGCCCTTTACAGACCTGAATAATCACTAATGAGAGAGAAAGTATCCACCCTCAGGAGCGTGAGTTCGCGCAAAATAAAAATGTGATCTGTTATCTGCTTATCACTTACATCTTCTTATCGAAATATTCAGTAGTGGCCAAAGTGAGACAAAATAGGGCATTCTCACACGTGAGAGTTCCTTGTTCAGGAAAAGTAGGAGTTTTGAAACGTATTTCCCGACATTTCACCGAGAGTTTTCACACCTGGAAATAGGGCCTAAAGGAAGCATTTGGACACCAGGACCCCCTAGAGCCCAGGTGCCGGGGACTCAGACACCCTGAGCCCTCGGGGAAGGCAGCCCGGCGCATGACCTGCGGCGATGAGGGTTCCGGAAGGTACGTCCCTGGACGGTCCTGGCACGTCGCAGCGCTGAGCCAACGGGCTCCCGTCTGTGTAGGCTCGACACGGCGCACGGGGCTGCACGGGGGCCTAGGGAGCCAGCCGGTCTTCCGCCCCGGGCTTTGCGTGATCCGTGCCCAGGAGCCTCTACTCTCAGGCGCCCGCCCGCCCCCGCCCCCGCCCCCATGGAAGCTCCAACACCTGTGGGCCAGCGGTTCCAGGACACGGGTCTCTTCCAGCTTCTGGTAATCAGAACAAAACTAATAAACCTTCCAGAAGCAGTATCCTCATAAACAGGGAAGCCACGCCAGACAGTGGCCCGGCCACGCGGCTGCCGGAGACCCCCACCCACATTCCCCCACATGGCCTGACCACTGTCTACCGCTGCCAGGGGGGCCACTGTGTGCCCTTGAAAGCGGGAAGGACGACTCCCCATCGGGAAAGGGCGGCGTGGGGTCACCCGTGCAGATTTCCGTTTCTTCTGGGGGGGCTGACGAATCTCCCCTGCAGGAGACGCTCCCCACATTGCCAACTGGATGCCTGGGGGACCCGGGAAGATTGCCCCGTGGGACTGTTGGGGGCCCTCGGGTCTTATAGGTGCAGAAGGAGGCTTGAGGGCAAGTTGACCTGGCACCAAAACCAGACGGGGCCCAAGGTCGGACCCCAGAAAAGGACCAGCCTGGCCCGGGCGACGTTCCGTGTCAGCTCCCGAGGGCCCTGGGTGACAGGGCAGTCGCCTGACACCACCTCGGACTTGGGAAGAGATGAGGGCGGTCTGGCCGTGCAAAGGACGGGCGGTAGGCGGCCCGACCAGCGCGCACCTGCAAACCTCAGGGGAACTCGGGGGAGGGCGGTGTGCAGAAAGCACCCCTAGTCCCGTAAGGCCGAGACGCCCTCGGACTGGACCTCGAGGGCCGGGATGCCCCCCGGGGACGGGCCCGGAGGCCCAGCCCACGGCTCACCTCCCCCGTACGTCTGGCACAGGTACGGGAACCTCCAGATGTTGCCCAGGCCCACGGCAAAGCCGATGCAACTCAGGACGTACTGCAGCCTGTTGTCCCAGCTGGGCCTCTCGTGCCCGCCGCCGGCCCCGCGGGGGTCTGGGCCCAGGGCGCACGCCATGCCTGCCACTCGCTCCCTCACGGTCCCCCTCACACCCCACGCACGTCCGCGTTATTTAAAGGAAAACCAGTGGAGCCAGTTAATTGGTAACTCGGGCTGGGCTCCTGCTCTAACTCGGGCGGTTGCTCCCTGACCCCACGGCCTCTGCCCGCCCCCCGCCCCCCGGCTCCTGCCCGGCCGGTGCGCCACCACCTCGAGAACATGCCCGCAGGGGCTCCCTGCTCCCTGTCGGGGACCTGCAGGCCCCCAGCACCGGGGCACGGTGGGTTGTTTTATGAAAATCGTTGCCCTCCTCATCAACTGATTGAGACACGGTTGCAGCCTCACACGTCGCCATGAGCAGTGGCCGAGCCCAGGCCCCGCGCCCTCACCCGCTTTCCCCCGATGGCAGACACCCTGTCCAGTCCCAGTGGGACGCTGACCGGTCACCTCGGCACACGCCCGCCACCTGAGGGTCCTTCCCGGCCCCGTCTCTCCTCTGCACTGCACCGTCATCTCAAGAAGGTTATGCGAGCGGCACCCGCGTGTGGGACCTGGGGGCGGGCCTGCGCCACGCGGCCGTGACCTCAGGCGGCCCATCGGGGGCACGACCGCCAGGCTGTCCTCCTCACGGTGGCCGTGGAGGTGCACAGTGCGTTCACCACGCAGAAGAGCGTGGTCTTCGTGCAGACGGGGGACAAACGTCCAGGGAGGGAACAGGTGGCCTCTGGTGTCCTGTCCACTCCTAAGCCACGTTCATTTTCCGGAGACTGAGTGCAAACTTCTGGCCGGTGGCACATGTCCCTCTTCCAGGGACGAGCACACGAGCTGAAGGCCCACCTCACCCCTGCACGCCCGTGTCCCAGAGGGACTCCCCAAGGGGGGCGAGTGTCAGGGGTCAGGGCCGGGGGTGGAGGCGGTTCTCTTGCTTCCCAGCGCCCACCGGCACCGCAGGCAGCGGGTGGGATGGTGTGACGCCCACAGCACGGGGGAGGGGTGGGCTCGGCCAGGCCGGGGGCCCCCGCGCGGTGGGCTCGAGGGGGACGGGCAGGCGCAGCAGACTCAGCCCGGGCCACCCGCTGAGGCTCCGGACCCGTGGACGCCCCGTGGATGCCTGCGGGAAAGACGGGGACCCCAGTGGACACACTTCCAGGGGCTCCTTTCTGGGTGGGAGGGGGAGTGAGAAGGCGAGGGGAGGGTGTAGCCCCCGCCCAGCCCACCTGACCTCTGACCTCACAGGGCGCCGCGGCCTGCCCTTCACAGGGCCTCTCACCACGCCCCGGGCTCCGCGGACACAGCGACGTGGACGTGGCGTCCACGTGGCGCCCCCCAGCCAGACCCGCAGTCCACGCCGCCCGGAGCGACTGGGGCTCCACCGTCTGCTCATCCCTCTGCCTCCAGACAACGTTTAGGCCGAGAATATGAAATGGCGATTTATTTAGACCGGTACACGTGATGCCCACGAGACCTGCGTTTCCAACAACTTTCAGAGACGCCGAGTCTGTGAGCAAGGCACTGGCCAGGGGTGGGACGACCGGATGATCCCCCCCGGGTCACACCCCCAGAATCCTCTCCACACGCCCCAGGGGGCAGCGCACGGACCAGTTACTGCAACTGTGTTCTCACAGCGGGGGTGGGAAGGCTTCGAGGAGAGGCCGAGGGGAGGGTGGAGGCCGGAGCGGGGCGAGGCGGGGGTCCCGGGAAGGCCTGGCACTCGGGGCTGCAAGCCAGCCGACCACACTGCCCCGAGGATTCCCCAGGTGACGGCACAGGACTGGACACGCCCCGATGTTTGGAGGTTCGTAGCGGGGGCTGCAGGGCTCCGCTCCGTGGTCACTGCCAGATGGGAGGCGACGGGACAGGGACGTCCCGGTGGGGGGGGACACGGCGCCAGGACCCAGGTCCCCACCCCTGCCCAGGGGATCCTCAGAAAGTCCAGTTTAACTTAAGTCTCCAGGCTTTTTCTGTGGAGGGTGGAGGCGACCAGCCCATTAAGAAAACCACCCCAGGGGGCGCCTGGGTGGTTCAGTTGGTTAAGCGTCCGACTTCAGCTCAGGCCACGATCTCACGGTCCGTGAGTTCGAGCCCCGCGTTGGGCTCTGGGCTGATGGCTCGGAGCCTGGAGCCTGTTTCCGATTCTGTGTCTCCCTCTCTCTCTGCCCCTCCCCCGTTCATGCTCTGTCTCTCTGTCTCAAAAAAAAAAAAAAAAAGAAAAAAAGAAAACCACCCCAAGTGCCACGTGACTGAGACTGGCTGTCGAATCCCAGAAGACAACCTTCACGAGACAGGGAGGGAAGAGCCAGAGCCCGACTTCACTGAGTGGCACCGAGCGGTCAGGCCTCCCGGTCCTTGCCGTGCTCGGGACCGTGGACTGTCCTCGACCGTGGTGGCCACGGCCGAGTTACCGTATAACTGGCCTTTCCAACACCTGGCTACGCGTTCATGCGGTTCACTTCCTTTTAAGGAAAACACAGAGGTGGTTTCCGCCTCAGCCTGGGTCGAGCTGAGCTCCGTCTAACTGCTCATCTACCTGCGGCGGCAGAAACAATGATTAACTGGCTTGGAACTCACTGGAATTCACCGAGCTGGCACTTTGCCAGAGCTCGGAGCTGGGGGGGGCGGGGAGGGGCAGTGGCGTGGTCAGGCCTCCGAAGGACCCAGCCGAGTCTTCTCAGGCTCACAGCCAAGGGGCCTGAGGAGGGCCATCCTCAGGTGGGGCACCAGTGTCCCGACCTCACAGGTACCTCCTAGGTCAAGGGTCGACAGCAAGGTGAAGGAGGGTGGCAACGAGGCCGGTCCTGAGGGGCGCAGGCGAGCAGTGCAGACGCGGCCTCCCCAGGACGCCGCAGCTCCGACTGTCCTCGGAGCGTGTGCACACAAACACGTATGCACGTATTTATACTCGTGCACACAATACATTATACACATGCCCACCACGTACTCACGCACGTGTACACACACACATTTCAACATATATACACACACAGACATGCACGCATGCTCACATACACCCCCCACGCTCACATGTGCACTTGTGTATATGCTCACGTGTACACGCACACACGCACACATACACACGTGCACACATGTACACACGTGCCTATGTGTGCACACACATGTACACACAGTACGCACATGCATACACTCATCTGTGCACACATACACAGCCACACGTGTATATACACACACACGCACACACTTTCAAGTGTGTGGCCTGGACTCCCCCCTCACTCTGACGGCCACACGCCCTGGGCCAGGCCGTTTAGTACTTCAGGTCCCCATTGATGGAGGTCGTGGACACCCTGCTGACCAGCCCCTGGCGGTCCCCCCGTCTCTGGCAGTGGTTCCTGATGAGCTTGTAGATGGCAAAGCCAGGGATGGCCAGGCAGGGCACCCCAGCCACGATGACCACCACGGCATACACCCAGCCTGGGTACGTGACCTTCTGGGATTTAGGAAACTCCTCCTGGGGAGAGAGCAGGGGTGACAGCCGCATGTACAGCCAACAAGGTCTTCTACAGGGTACACGCCCCTCCCCCCGTAGGTCACCTCCCGGCCCTCGCGGCAGAGGGGAGGGGCACCCTGGGCTCCCGACCCCACAGGGAGCAAGACCCCCGCTGCCCCCTCCGCTGCAGCCCCTCGGCTCACATAGGCAGGGTCCCAGACGCTGTAGATCAGCTCCTCATTGACCTTGACCACAAAGAAGAACAGGAAAATGACCAGCATAAGCAGTGGACTGACCACCCTCCACGTGACTTGCCAGAAGATGTTGGGCTTGTGGCCAATCATGAACTCGATGTCCCTGTTGAACCTGGACACGGAGGTGGGAAGAAAGCTGTCACCGGGACATGGTCAGGCCTACGGTCCCCTCAAGGTCGAGGGCGGCTGGCCTGTCCAGCC